GAGACTTCTTCAGCGCAGTTATCGAAAGGGTTTGGAACTGGCCAGTCACTGCCCCATCAATATACCATGGGATGCCGATTCCCATTTGCTTTCAGGGATTGGTAACGTATGCCTTGTAACAATTGCGGTACGCCTCACCAGTTTTCAACTGACTGATTTTGATACTCGTTTTACGTGGTGGAGCTAGTGGATCGGTTATCGAAAAAGCAAAAATCGTCGTCCTTGAGGCGTTGATCGGCAAGCAATTGCCACACACAATGGCGAGCAATCTTGGTGCACACCACTTGATGTAGCAACTCTGAATGTGTGAAGCACAGGTCTTGTTGTGAAAGGAGAATTTGCCACAACCATGTGTGTATCTTGGTCATATTGCGAATCGCTCAATCAAATTTTTCCGGCTCAAGACACAGTCACACGGAACCGTACACGAAGCTTCTCGTCACCCATGGGCTCCAGTTTCATCCAAGTGCCATCTCACACACATCAAACATTCAAACAGTTCTCAAAGGCGCCTTGATTTTCAGGATTCCATCATTTGACACCCCGAGCCTGTTGTCTTATCCAAGGGAGGAACGTCTTCTTTGAATACTGCACAATATGTTGCCGGAATTGGTTGATGTTCCTATCGTCTGGAGGTTCATGGTCATGGTTTCCATTCCTTGAGGAAATTTGTACCAGGTAGACTGTTGATCCACCAACTGTTGGTCATCATCATCATCTTCATTATTTCATCATCATCTGTGTCTTTCATGCGAATCGTCGTCACTTCCTTCCTCATCAGTTGCCTCTATGGCTTCCTCATCTGCCATCCTCTTTTGCTTCCTCATTGCCGTCATCTCGTGGTACCAAAACCGCGGGTCAGCTGCTGGTTTTTTATTGTCTTCCTCGCTTTCAGAACCAATACCACACCATCTTGCATGGCCCAACAATTTGATCTTCCTCCACCATGTCTTGTGGAATGGCTGGCATTTGACTTGATGTGCCTCTCTCCTCTCCTGCAGATCTTCTAACTTGCCGTGGTGCTTTAGCGGGTCTTCCAGTGTCAGTGGCACCAAGCCCTGCAGTAGCATGTCTTTCTCCTAGTATTGTACTTCCAGTCTCATGTTGTCTTGTGTTTCTTGCCATGCAATTCAGGGGAACTGCCTGCTGCAATGCAACTCCGAAGGTTGTGGTGAGCACTTAGTGCCCTCTTGCTTTCAAACCAAGCTTTACAGTAGTCGCATACCAATAACCCATGATACAACTAGTAGTAGTAGCTACTTGTAGTAATTGCCGATCGCTAGCCCGTATAAGGAACTGTAATACCTTAGGTCAAAGTCTACACGACCTTCAAAATGTGAGTGTGGTTACCAAAAAGCTAACCCCAAACCGCTCTGTACCGGATTCTGTATGTAGTTTCCATGTTCATTGGTATGGCATAGGGGACAAAACGGGACACAAAATTGGTCGGTACCTATGGGTTGGGAATTTAGGATGCAGCAGGGTTCCAAAACGGTGCATACTGCCACACCCAATGGAGAACCAGTACATGTTCCACAAACAACAAACACCATCCAAATCCGGGAGCAATGACGTCACCAATCGCCTAGGGACGCATGTCGTTCGGTACCTTCCAGACCTCGCTGTTTTCGCGAGACCCCATTATGCGCTTCTTAGATGAAGGCTGGACGTGTCTGGTGATGTCTACGATTTGAACCCCTCAGGTCGGGCCTCACATCCCAGCATATTCCTCATGGACTTGATCCTTCCAGAAGTCACACAGATATTGCTGGCTTTGGTGCTGTTTGCCTCCCTCATACCTTCCTATGAGCTTGGACTTGCTGTCATGAACAATGCAACAACTGGTGTTGCCGTGTTTGGTCTTCTCGTGGCTGTCCTTCTGCAGTTGTTTGTATGGCTTTTATCCTCCCGTGTTTTTGAATCAATACAGTTGAATCTTCCAAGTGGTGCTCAACAGAGCACAATCGGAGCTTATGTCACAAATGTTTGGTTTTTCCGGGTTCAAAACTTGGTGGAACTCCTGCTAGCCGGAACACCCATGTTTACTCACTATGTTCGCATAATGGGAGCTGAAGTGAATGGTGACTTTTGGTACTTTGGCAATGCTATCTATGAATATAACAAACTCCACATTCATGGCAGCACCATTGTGGACAGCTCCAGCTTGAATGGCCACTATATGGATGGCAATGGGTTGACTATTGATGACACCTGCATTTTTGGTGTTCTTCATCCTGGTTGCTTCGCAGTTGCTGGATCAATCGCCTCTGGAGAGAATGGTCCATGGAAAGTAATCTTGGGCAACGGTTGTGCCCAAGCCTCTGCTGATTTTGGGAGTGCCACAGCTTCCAAGTGCATGGAACAACATCCCGTGGTCGTTGTGTAACCAATGTTGGGTCAAACCTGCAACAGACAGGCTCCTTTATGAATCAGACCTTTTGGGGGCTGCGATTGTTGGCAATGATCGCAGCAAAGCCAGTGGCCATAGCTATGAGGAAGGTTATGACCGACCGTTGGGCCAGGTGTGCCCGCCAGCATCGAAGAGCAGCCTGTTGCTTCCTGCCGTCTTTCAGCATTGGCTGTGGCTCGGTGGAAATAGTTGTTGCGAAAACGGTTTGGGAAAAGAATTAGCATTGCAGGTAGATGCAGTAAACAAAATTTATAATAAAGCATTTTTACCTCGGCAGTCTTGCTGCCAGAGCCCTCAACCCCTTTAATTGTTTTTCCTGCTACGGTGGTCCCTGCAGGTATAAGGGTAGGGTTAGAATACAAATAAGTCAGCAAAAACTAAATAAGTATCCTAGGATGGTGCTTTAAACCAGCTAAAGCTATTTTCATGCATCCTAGTAGGGGGATCTGCTTCTACCAGGAAAAACTCTAAAGCCAGCGAAAAATATAACTTGTATTCTAGCTAGCTAGGGGTATCTGCTTCTAGTTTGCTATGGGAATCTGCTTCTAGCTAGGGGGGATCTGCTTCTAGCTAGCTAAGCGCAAGTTAAGCACTAGCTGAGCAGTAGAGAGATCTGCTTCTAGCTAGCTAGCTAATAGGGGTATCTGCTTCTACATGTACACTGAAACTTTTCTGCCAAGGTTACACAGATCCGCTGGCTTAATCGGAAGGTTTACCCAAGTCTCTACTTTGAGTTTCTTCGTGCTAAGGAACCAAGGGGGTTTAGAGTAGAGAAGCTATCTATTTCGGAAGCCTGCGAGAGCCAGCCATATGTGCACAGCACAAACCTGATGACGAAGTGGGATCGAAAGAAACGCTGTTGCTAGCAAGCACTTGGTTGCACTCCATTTACCTTGTTGGAATCGAAGACTCCTGTTAGTCGAAGGGCAACTCGCAATTGCACTACGCTAAAAGCTAGTGTAAAGATCTTTCGAGTGCTTTGTGTTTGAGAGAATGAAAGTTATGAGAGAGATTAGAAAGCTATGAAAACTAATCAACGAGAGAGATCACCATCAAAGGATCGTAGATCTCGTCTCCCGCGGGAGACTATAAAGTGTGATAGAGTAGGTTGCGGTAGTAATCCTACGTATCTCCACGATCCTAAAACGGAACGCGTGGAAGATTCGTCTAGCATGGATCTAGTAGCGTGGAAGTACTCCACGCTGGCTAAATATCTAGAGCGATGTTTCATCATCAACCTAGTATGACTAGAGCGGTCATTGAGAACGCTGTCTCAATAACTATTCACGAGAGACTCAGTCATGAGTCGAACTCAAACCCTATCTAGGATCGAGTCGTGAATAAGGCTAAGAGCCGTGTATTGCATTCGCCCCCTGACAAGGGTCACAGAAGGCACGACATCAGTCGGACAAGGAGAACATATGAATTAAAGTGCGGGGCACTCTCCGGAGATTGGATGTAGACATGTGCGTCGCACGATGGCAATCCTACAAGGGGAAAAGGCCATGTATGGGTGTAAATACCTTATGTTCCAAGTCTGGTAGACTGTGCCGCCATTGGCGGTAGCATGTCGGAGCCATACAGTGCCATTGTTATTGACTCGGTCTATATTGTAAGGACCTTTGCACTTTGGCTGACCGTACTTGCGGTGCTGATACTGTTGAAACCTCACAGTGTCGTTGACATTGTATTGATGAGGGACACGTGTCGTTTCTTATCATTGTTTTTCTGGATGAGTCGTTGGCGACGTTCTTTGATGTGTTTCCAGTTTACTTCGAAACGGACGTTGTGAATCACGTCACGATTGAACACGTGTGGTAATGAACTTGCGACGAAGTCCATATTCATCCCGGAGAGTCTTCTCGACTTCTGCGCGGAACTCACGTTCTCTATCCATGATAACCTCAGCAGGCCATGGATACAGACAAGTTGATTTTGACTCGTTGCTTTGTCAAGATGCCTTCAACTGTCGGATCCAGCCAACTGCATCATGTGAGAATGCCTCAGGTACTATTCTGACTCCAGCATAAGGATATGAGGAGCGGAACAGGACTCGTGTTTTGAAAGCTTGAAGCAGACATCCCAATATGGGCAAAAGATCCTGGAGATTCACCTAATATGCTCTCATTTTAACGAGCATCATGATTCTGTCGGTGATTGAATCCACACCGTTGAATTTCCGAATAACCATGTCGGCAGCAGACCCATGTATGTTTATTCATAAGGAGCAGCAACTCATGGGTCACATAAAAATTTAAAAGAGATTTGACTGAAGACCAGAGATCTGGCTGTCAGTCCAGAAATCTGTATTTGAGTCACTAATGTTGGTTTTGTTGGGTCTTTTTTGCATCTCCAGAACCTTGGATATGACCTCACCATGGAAGAATAAGGTGACATCTTTGGATTTCTTGGTATTAATTTTGATAGACAGGGAGACAATGTTAGCTTACTCAAAAAGGTCTCATCAATAAAGTCATCGAATATACTGGTATGTTTGACGCTAGCAAGAAGCTCTCTCCTGCCGCCACCGATCCTCTCGAAGCTGACAAACTGGGGGCCCCATTTGAAGATGAGTGGAGCTATCCAGCTGCAGTTGGGACGCTTCTTTACTGAGTTGGCTCGCAACACTCGTTCCGCCCAAGACATCATATATTGCTGAATAAAAAAAACTTTTAGTGTGCACCAGGTAGCAATATTCAGTCACAATCCCAGTCATTCCCTTGCTCAAGCAATCAAACGTATCATCCGTTATTTGATTGGCACAAGTGACAAAGCAATTTGTTTTAGCCCTAAACTTGATCAGGGACCTGACTGTTGGGTCGATGCCGACTTCGCCGTATTGTATGGATATTAGGATGAGATGAGAGAGCAGTGAATACCTGTAGTCCCGGCACCAAGTTCTGACAAGCATCACATTGCGGTGATTGTGGTCCTACTCCGGTTGTGGTGCCCCCACAAGTTTTATCTGGTCCATGTCACAGCTACAGGACGATATTACTTTTGAGGCCCGCACCTTTCTGCCTGCTGGATGAAAAAATAAAGGTATGAGGTTGCGCTCAGCCATGCAAGATGGAGCTGCTTCGATCGAGCTTTTGGCCACAAGAAAGTCTTGCGCGAGACAGAACACTGTAAAGAGTAATCGACACCATAGTAATACTGACCAGCTGCTCGTGCTGCGTCCACATGTGCGATGTAAGACAACCAAGGTTGCAAGTCCTTGTGAATGTCCAAATAATGTCTCGCTGCAACAAGTAATTCATTGAACACGAAACAACACAGAACTTACTCAGGTCTCAAGAATGATCGGCGGAGCTTCGAGAAGGCATCCTGGTGCTATAGAATACGCAGTTCCAAACTCTGGAACAACTGGGCCGACATTTTACTAGGGGGCCTTCCGGCTCCACAGTTTTTGCTGTCAGTTTCGCGAACTCCTCATGGGATGATTTAATCACTCACACTTTCTGGAGGACTCTCTCCTATCGTTTCTAGCTCCAGCTTCATTTCAACTGTAAGAGGAGTGCGACGGGATACAGCTTACAACATCAGCATTTACAGCTTTACAACTAGCAGGCTTATTCTAGAAAATAAACAATAACTGACTCACTTATTATGGATAATACATAATTTACATCATCTTAGATACTCCTAGACTATCAATGTCAAAAATGTATTGGTCGCAGGGATCAACAACAGTTGACCCAGTAATGACGAATCACGGGACACACTGTCAGCATACCGTCCTTGGATTCGCAAAGATGGACGAACAAACACGTCTTCGATCCTTTTACTGCCGAGATGACGGCTCTCATTGTGATTCTGTGAGGCATGGAATCCGCTGAAGAATTTGACAAAGGCAGTGTATGCAAGCAAAGCTCTTCGATAGAAGAGAGATAGTAAGAAGTACAAGTTTACTCGCAACAACGATCATTCTTCCAAGAGCGAAATAGAAGTGTGTGATTACCGCGAGTCCAGCACTCACAAACTAGGCTGATTTGCATGACTCTGAACAATTAAGCCAAGTCTCAGTCTTGTACAACGATACAAAACCAGCGTACAACAAGAACAGAGCCTCTGGAAACCAAGTCAGACGAGAGCCCAAGGTAGTCAACACCAAGAAGAACTCTCTGTCCTTCATGGAAGAAGTCCCAACGCTCGCGTCAATGGGAATCCGCAAGAAGAAAAGCGAATGCTAACCAAGTTGCCGAAACGCAAAGTCAGTACGACTCTGACAACGAGGTGAAACTCCTCTGTCGGGTCACTCAACATGAGGACAAGAAATGGCTGCATGCGACAAGGCTGCTTGCCGAATTCTACTTCAATCATTCGAATGGAGAGATACTCCGTCGTGAGGATAATGCTCAGAGAATGAGATCAATCGATCATGTCCGACTGTTGGCACATAACCTTAGTATGTAGATCGCAAATGTAAACGATAATTTGTGCAAAACTGAAACTGTAGTAGACGAACTTAAAAGTCCTGATGTACTGCAAAGCTATCGACGATATCACAATGAACTCGTCGCAACACTCAACCGAGCAAAAATAAAGTCAAAGACAAGTCATTAGTAATCGACAGCAAAACAAACCCGTCATAACTGCCGTTCCGCCTTATTACCTTCGTCACGAGTTTTTAACTAGGTCACACCTGCAACGTCCAGCAGAGACCTCAATATGTCATGAGATTTTAAGCAGAAAAGACTACTTACAACTCGCTATGATAAGACATGACTTATTACAATCAGCTAAGATAGAGAGGAATCTGGGGCGTCCAAACACTTGGACTACCCCTGATAAAGGAATTAAACCCCAAGCACGAAGTGAAGAGTCCATTCATGATCCTGAATCCACGATAATAGAATATCGAATGGAACTTGCACGCCACCAAGAACTTGGAGGTCAGTATTACATGATCATAGTCGATGACATTCTCTCCGACTAAGAATCAAGTCATATTCTACACCATATCATGTGAAGTG